TACAATTTCCTTTGTAATAATGTAAAATAGTAATAGGGCCACCTATTTCGTTTTCACGCTATACAATTAAAAGTGGTGTTCTACGTGATATACAACAAATGTGTGCATCACCCGACATGTGAATCCACACTCATCAAAGGTCAATTCGGGAAAAGGACCAAATCAGTTAATCTACAGATCAGAAGACTATTCTAGTATCAAAAGATGTGAGATTAGACCCTGACGCATCGTGTCGGTCAACCAATCTCTGATGTTGAGCGTAAAACTTATGCATTATAAAAATAAAGAGATGTGGTATGATTGCCAATGAGACAACTATCTACCAGAGTTCAAATGACGTGGCTGAAACAATCAATGTCAATAATGTAAAAACCAGTACCGTATAGTCGACTATACAATATACAACTACTGAATTACAAGCTACATACATGGGACAGGCAAATGACGAATGTGGCGGAGTCCATATTTGTGAACGTTCAACCCTCCTCAAACATGTGACAGTAATGAAACAGCACAACATACGATCAAACTGTAAAATTATTTGCAAATGACTTAACCCAATAGTTCGCTACTAGGCATACAAAAAAAAAAAACAACCAACATAAGAAATAGATACAATTCACGGATATAAGTATACTTGCAATTACTGAAAGCTCTTTGAAAGCCAATTACAACTTAAAAATAAACCATCTACTATCTGTATCTTGGCATTGCACAAGGTCATGTTTTTCTTTGACTGTTAATGACGTCTTTACACTAAATCCATTGTTTTGTGGATGCTTACTGATTAATATTTTAGTCTTATATACATGATTTTTTTATTAGTTGTTATTGGGTTTGAAATAGCTGTCAGTAACTGTGAGTACTCTCAGATCTGTACTTAGTGATTTTTGTGTTGTGTTGATATATGAATACACTGCCACGTCCGGTCTGTGTTTCCGTTAGATGTTTTCTGCTTTGCATCGATCTGATGAGTTTAGCCCTGATTTTTATAGTTTGTTCTTATCTTGTACTGTTACACGACTGTCCCAGATTAGGGAGAAAGTTTGACGCCAGCAAACTAGTTTAAACCCGCCACATTTTATGTGTGCCTGTCCCAAGTCAGGAACCTATAATGTAGTGGTTATCGAAACTTGCTGTGTTATATTTGGTTTTCATTTATTGTTTTGTACCTTAATCACGACGATAGTTTTCCAGTTTGAATTTTTTTACATTTGTCATTTCGGGACCTTTTATGGCTGACTATGCGGTATGGGTTTTCCTCATTGTTGAAGGCCATACGGTGATCTATAGTTGTTAACTTTTTGTCATTTGGTCTCTGGTGGAGAATTGTCTCATTAGAAATCATACAACATCTTCTTATTTTTACATGTTCTCCCAGACTAAAGTAACACTTAGTACACATCAACTTAGTTCGTGTGAAGTCGTCCTACACATTCTGAGAAATGCATGCACAACCTTGTGCAATGCAAACAATAGAGGTAAATAGTATCGACAGGATGTAGGATCATGAATACTCATAGCATTACTAGTAATTAGCAACATATGTTTAGTAATGTTCTATATTAAAAAAAAAATCAATGTATGTGCTGATAAAAACAATATTTAAAGAAAGTACTACGGTGTTTTAAAAATTGATTAGCTTTAAGAATAAAGTTACTCAAATAATCAATGACTTTACATGGATAGTATTTAAATTTACGGGCTCTATAAACATCTTCGTAAACATTAAAAAACAATGTGATTTTCATATGAATTCTACAGGTACAGCCAAACTTCAAGACTATATCTTTGTATTTATGAAAGAATGCAGTAAAAGTTTCATTAATTTGTGGTAACGAAATCCATAAATTACGTTCATTAAAATCGTAAATATCACTACAGACACGGCCATAGCGAAAAAGTTGAAAAAATATGCACACCGTAAAAATGGACCAATAGAACATATCTGTCCCAATAATGAAAATTAACAATAGGGAACAAAAAATTGTTTAAGCTTGTAAATTCTTGTATAAAAAAATTCCCATATGAAATTGAATTGTCCAATTCTAGAAAAAGGATTATTGCGGTTTGCATTAGATTTAACTAAAGTAAGTTTCCTTTAGTTAATTTCCGCAGTAAAATAAGAAAATTCTTGATTATTTTCAGCAAAAATATTATCAAGATAATGGTAAGTTTTTTAAAATAAACAATTAAATGTAATTTAGACGGAATCTTACTGAGTTTGGCTATAAGATATGATTCATAACAATATAGGAACTAGAGTCCAGACTAACAGAGGTGCAATAAGTGCCGATAGGAATACTCACAACCTGTCGACAAACTTCATTGCCGAAACGTACATACATGTTGCCATGGACAAAACTTAACAGCTTTAATCTTATCATCACAGTTCCAGTAAGTATATGTAGCATTTTTCCTTTTTTCATTAACAAAGAAGGCTTTATATGAGTTGCAGCTGATGAATATACAATCAGATCTTAGAAATAATCATTTTTAAATTCAATAAGTGAACTTATATTTGATATAAGATAAGATTTCATAATAAGAAATAATAATAAGAAGTTCTTTAACAGTAGTAAGGTGACTAGTCTTACTGTCAACATTACACAATGATAAGTCATCTATATAGAACATATTACCAGAATACGAGATGAAACGAAATTTGAAGGTTTTTTTTTGTGTAGTTTAGGTACTACATTGTCGATGTCAGTCTTGTTTCCCCTGAAACAATGTTGCAGCAGTTTCTGTGCAAGGAGCACACCCCTGATTATGATGTATGAATATGCACGAATGTAACGTATTCATTTAGATTTAGACGTCATCTGATGGGCCAGATGATATGCTACTGCTGAGAAATAGGAAAGTTGAAATCATAACGTTTGTCAAAGATTCTAGTTTAAAGTCGTCCGTCTGTGTCAATTTCGATAAAAAGTTATGGAACAGACCAAGTGTTGGTAGTATCCATAGTCTTAAAATCACTGGGATGTATAAGATACAGCACTCACTAAGATGTGGATTATTGAGTGACATGACATCAAAAATATATCTAAACGTGAAATTAAAGAAATTTGCAAGAGGATTTTTCTTTTTGTCTTTAGGAATCCCCCCCCCCCATTATGCTAAATATGCTAAATATGAATTAATTTTACACTAAAAAATCGCAAAGTAGGGTGCATAATTACTACTCATAGGAATACCGACTGGTTGTAATTAATATACAAAACTGAACAAATAAGTTTTCAATAAAAAAAGCATTTTTATGATATCCTCGGTGTGTTTGTTGTTGGTATCAGTGTGGTACTTACATGACTTGAAACTAGGAATTTGAATCTACGATTCCCATTTTTGTAAAACGAAAAGCTTTGTTGAATGCGACGATTAAGTCGATCTTTCCATTGAGCATCGGGAAAAGAAGCGTAGAGCGTAGAAAAGTCAAAAAGTTTGTATTACTGTTAAATTGTAAAGATCAGAAGATAGTGATTGAAAATTTTGGAGAAGATCTCTAAAAATGTTAAGAATCAACATTGGACAAGGTATTCCTTTCACATGTTTCATTGTCAAGTTTTAATTAGTTTCATTTATATTCGAACAGACGTCCGAGTAAGTGATTATAATAGTGGTCAGTTTATAGAATTTTAATTGTGGTATGTCCATAGATATTGTCAAAAAATGTTAATTCAAAAAGGGGGAAAGTCCATATAAACTGACAAAATCAAACACTAGACATTATCAACCAATGGAAAACAGCTGTCATATTACTACAGGCGGAAAAAAAGGTTGGTTAAACCTGTTTTATAGCTAGAGTTGTTTATTTCCGTTATATTGACACCATTGGGTGAACAATCCAAACATACATAAGAGGTTTAGCATTATTATGCAAATTAGTACTGCATAAAATCTTTGAAAAATGCAGATCTTACATGTCAAAAGAGTAGGAACTTTTCCCCCTGTTCGTAGTAATTAATACAATGTATAGAAACAATCAACAGAATGGCAAAAAATAAAGTAGCAGACCACAAACATTTCTGGAACTTTAAATTGGGAAAGCAGATTTTTTTTCTAAATTCATTATTGAGTGTTTATAACTAGAATATAGCAACTTAATTGTTCTGTCAACTCTAATGTACAGTTCAGTTTGTTAACCAGCTTTCAAAATCGATATCAAAAAGAATTTTTCTCATATATCTTATTCAATTCACACTGAGAAAAATTTAAAGAATACATGTGATCATCGTTAAACACTTTTAGCTGTTTTTGGGAAACAATAAAACAAAAGAAGTCAAATGTATTCATATGGAGTAAAGGCAATTCATGACACGGACGTCTGCAAATAAACATAAATGTATACTTTCTATGCGATGACAGGCCAGTTTCTTCTATTAACATTGATAAACAAACGTTTGATACTTACGATTTTATAAATGACACAAAAAGGAATATTTTTAGTGGCTGTAATATATTTACAGAATGGTCTGATAATCAGTAACGTTAACTTAAAGAAGTACAAGCTGTTTACTAAGCCAAATATATGGCAAACAAGAGCCCTTATATCTATGTATGAGTCTCTGATTGATACCAGAGTTATAGGAAAATTCGAGTTTATAATCTTTTTATTACATGTACATATTGGCTAAAGGGCTTCAAATTCTTGCATTAAGTGCAAAACTGGAAAAACAGACTAAAATATCTTCATTTGAAATCTTGTCATGAATATTTAGATATGAGCCAAGGGTTTACTCCAAAATATAATTTGCAACAAGATGTATTGTACAACGATATTTTAATAATTTTAGGTCAAATACGTTAATTTCAACATGTTGTCATATTGCAATCACCTTTCAGCACTAAAGTTTCCAGATTATATCAACTGGATTATTATATCAATAGAATTAACATAATTTTGAAAGGCTAAAATAGTTTCACTATTTTTTGCAATTTCCGGGGACAAATAATGGCACTTAGCATACCACCTCCTTTTTAATAAAATTCACATGTACCTTGCTTATTATACTGTATGCTTCTTCAAACTCTTGGTCATCAATTGAGTCACTGTGTGCTCTTTTATTTCTGAAGTAAGTGATTCTAGTTAGATCAGCCGCTGTACTCGTATCCACCTCAACAGGAAGTTTGTTTCCAATGCGTAGGGGTGTTAAATGTCTAAAGAAAACCATCATCAATGTGATGTCAAAATCTGCTGATGAAGCACTACCTGTAGAATAAAACATCAATCAAAACTAATGTTTTTCTGATAATAGTTATGGTAATATGTACGGGGAACCACATAATGGCGGATATTTTACATTTAGGGAGCTACCATTTGATTTTTATGGGGGCTAGGATGAAATTTGAAAAAAAAAGGCAGGACAGAAGTTTTGAGTAAAAAAAAAGGCAGGATGAGCAACTTGTTGTTAACCGCGAAAATTGGATTCATGCATTCACTTGTTTCAAAACCATTTGAAATATTTTGATGATCAGAATATTTATTTGACACTATACATACTTCTGGTGTCTCTAATGAGTTTTGTGTAACCTATATTGTTCAGATTATCTATGTTGGCTTCTTTTAAAGTGATGTTCTTTACACCCAGGCATAGTCCAGATAATTACTACGTCTGCTAAAGATATTTTTCTATTTTGATTTTATACTGTATATTCTTCATTTACGATGAAAGGCATTAAAGCAAAATATCCCTAAATTTAATTTGGACCTCTTTAGCTTCATATTGACTATGAAGTTAAACAAATATTTCGCAGGAAAAAAAGTCGACATCCTGGAACATTCCAGTAATTACACGAAATTGTTATGGGTGGCATACGTCTGTTTTCACCTTTTGTCTAACCGGGACTTTTAGACTACTTATCATATCATTGCAATGGCACATGTCTCGGTAGAAGACAAACCGTGTTCTCTTTCAAACTCCATGTTATTTAATTTCTACAATCAGTGATACCAGAAGTCCATTAATAGAGGAAGTGTGCTAGTTATAGCTGGGCGATCACACTGTCCCCGTTATCAGTGGAAAGCGCTATAAGTGGTCCACCCAAATCTCGTTTTTCAACTATGGAATCATGGGTAGAAATATTATCACCAAACAGATAGCTGTTAATTGGTCTCCTTGAGTGTTTGGTTAATTATTAGTTTGTTGAAAATAAAGTGAGCCTACGTAGTGCGGTGGTTTCTTGTTGCCAGTTATTTAACTTCATTTTCAACATTTAGAAAAATGATATAAAATTTTATAAAAGAATACATTGGTACCATTTTTATCGCGCAAAGGCAAATGAGAACTATAAAATCATATAAAATCTGTCGTGTTGGACTGAAAATGTATCGTCTATTTAAAAGATCTTGTTGATTTTGTCAACATATAGTCATAATTGCCTCCTTTTTTAAATAGAACGTTGTGTTGACGAATTATGTCTCGGTTACTTAAGGCATCAAGGAAGCTATATACGGGTTTTTTTCTTCGCTTCTACCGAAATACATTTATCAAAAATAATCGAACATTTGTTGCTTCAGATGACTTCGAAACAATTTCGAATTTCAAAAGTGTCTTGTTTTTTTATAGCTATTTTAAAGTAAGAGACATACATGTCCGTCATTACGTTCGCCATCATAAGATGTATACGTGAGTCAGTGTTGTAACGTGTCACTCAATCCTTTTTTTTGTCGTTTTATACTCACAAGACTGAAGAAACCTGTATATCATGAGTATTTAAGTTTTGATTTATCTTGTGTTGCTAGCTTAACGTTCAGTGGCAAATATATCATGCATATTCCATCGAAGAGTTGTCACAAGTATTATTTAACATGCAGAGAGCGTAACATTGATCCTGAATACGTGATGTACTGGATTTAAAGTCCCTCCTCTGACCTGACGCGGCTGCTACTAATTTATACATCCAACACTTGTAAGAAAGGGTTTTACTGTTGGAACCGGACAATTCCAGGGATTACTTTATTTCTTTACCCAACTTAACCCTTGAGATTGATTTAGTATTTGAACAATTTAAATCAAATTGTCCTACAGCTAGGTTTTTGAAGTAAGTTAAAAACTTCGTTATATTTCAGTATGAAGTATACTTACATAAAGAATATATATTTTTAATTTTCATTTGTTTACAAAGTTCGTGATCGCAACTTTTCCTACAATTTTAGTAGTTTTTAAATTGATAAATAACACAAACATTTTTGTTATTTAATATGAAAGCCATCATAATGACTCATGACACTGATATAATATGGCATCTAGGATGATCCGATCTGCTATTCATTAACACGTCGATGGTCAAACATTATTTTCAACGGTGTGCTAATAAAGTATAGGGTGTTTTGCATAAATTATCTCTACCCAGAATGTTTCGCAAAAAATTTGGACATTGATTTTGGTTACCATTAATAGCAATCTCGCTCAAATCACGTTTCAATCACAGTTGGAAGTATGGGGACAACGTGATCGCCTTACTATATAGCGGGTTGCACACTTCCTCTAGTAATGGAATTCTGGTGATACTCATTTTTCCTGTGAAGTATTTTCCTTAAACATTGTCTTATTTTGTACCTCTCATTGTTTATTATTTTATGATTATTCATTGATGACTGTGTGATTCTAGTGATCTTACTTTCATTATGAAATTGTACAAAATATACTTGATATGTAAAAGGCAACCGAAATGATGTATCTTTCTTAAAAGAGAGACAAAGGATACCAACGGAATATTCACCTATAGCTGTTAACTTCTTCGTTATTTGGTCTTTGGTGGAGAGTTGTCTGATTGGCAATCATACCACATCTTCTTATTTTCATATCATAAGTCGAAAACAAACTGACAATGCCATTGCAAAAAACGAAAAAGGATCAAAAGATAAACAACAGTATATACACACAACATAGAAAATTAAAGACTGAGCAACACGAACCCCACTACCAAAAACTGGAGGTGATCTAAGATGCTTCTGCATTTAAATACATTAAACAGAGAAACGCAAACCTGTTCTTGGTTGCAGCAAATCACGTTGCTCTTGCCTTAAAGTTAACATGGATTTTGTAGCAAATTCTCGTTACGTATAGTTTTCTGTAGCACAGCTGGATGAAACTGTTTGTCGAATTCAACTCTTACAGCTTCTGTTCCTACTTTCTTTATTAAATGTTGTAATCGCAAATTATTTGACTCTTCTGTAGGTATTGACCCCCTGTCAAGTGTAAGATGCGCATTTTCTTCCATTGTCGTCTGATCCATAATTTCTTTAAAATATTGAATTCTGTGAAAAAATATATAATTTATATTAATATTTTTCATTTCTTCATTTCTTCATTTTTGTTGTTGTACGCTTTTCGGTTGCAAAATGAAATATAACGCTTAACGTCGCCACATGTTCATGTACCTGTCCCAAGTCAGTAACCTGATAAGTGGTTATCTATTATTATATTTTAAATGGTATATGTTATCAGAGGAATTCAGTGTTGATGGAAGATCTTTGTGATAGTTTCGGTTTAATAAATTCAGGACATGTTTCGACTCAGTAGAAGTCTGGTAATGAAATAGTGTAAAGAAGCCTGTCAATTGAAAATAGAAAACATTTCTAAGAACCAAATATTTGAAAGAAATTCAGAAACGGCATTTGACTCATTATTTACAACATTATAGGATGCAGTGAATATCCCTTACCACCACACCCCATCCCGCTTGATTTTTACCACTAGGGTAATGACTGCTTTTGTGTATCTTGCTGTTTCTATACTATAATGTCGTATGTTTTAACAATATAACCGTATAAGAATAATTAAAAATATGAAGTGTTGAGTATTGATTACTAAAATTATAGAGGTTGACATTCCTAACAAAAATAAAAATACAAAGAAAAGTGACGTAACTATTTAAATGTTCATATATGGTACCGAATGTCCATCGATGCAGTAGTTTAAAAATACATTGCTGAAATACTTCGATTTGAACGTTTTATGCAATAAATATTTTTAAATAATATTTAAATTCCATTGGGGCTTATCAACTTTCTAATTTTGACCTTCTTGTTGAATCAAATACAGATGAAATTTGGTGATACATATACATCTTTTATATTTCAATTCTTAAACATCGTATCCCTTTCTATTTTTGAATTCAGTACCAAAACAGTTCTGGGAACATACAGTAAATGCTTTGTCCGTTCCTCCTATTAACATTTTACCAAAATGTACACCCTATGAATCAAAATCAGATCTGATGGAAGACATTATCTCACAATCGAGCTTTGTATTTGGCAAGACCTTTCGGAATATTTTGTCTTCAATGCTCTTCAACTTTGTACTTCATTTGGCTTTTTTAACTTTTTCATTTGAATAGCAATGATGAGTCTTTTGTGGGAGGAACGCGTGTCTGGCGTACAGAATTATACTCCCAGTATTTTTGATGAGTTATATCAGTGTTTGAGCAGAAAGTTGATGAACCAAAGTTATGTAAAAAAACGGCTCGTCCTTTTTCTAAAAAAGTTCATCGAAATACTTTTGGGGACAAATTTTCGCTTACATGAAACTTTGTTCATAATGATTTCCTGGAGAATAATATATAAATGATGTAACAACCAATCACAGATAGCCAGCTATTTTTATCTCTATATCATGTTCCCTTCACGAATTGCTGCGCCCATGTATCTTTAGTACATTGTAACCTTTAACTAATACCCTTTTGTTTATGTCTCTTTTCGTGTTTGTTAATTTTTTCTTTACCATTATATTCATCTTGATTTTTATAACTGGCTAAAAGATGTTACTACATTGATTCCACGTTTTTTTTATAATACTTCTTCTTTCTTTGACCTACCTAAATTCATTTGTTGTTTTCACTTAAATCTAATAACTTTAAAAGTACTTTTCCCCTTAAAGTTGTTGTAGTCATTGGTGTATTAAATAATCGTTTAGCTAATTTGTTTTGAATTATTGTAAGTACGTATTGATGATGTTATAAAACGTACGTAAAATGCATATTGAGGACCACGCATGTAAAACGCCCGTTTGAAACGTATGATTTACGTATGTTAAACACACGTAATACGTGTGTGAACGTAAAACATGCGTTAAATGATTACATATAACGCCCGTTTTACGGGTAAACGCACGTTTAACGCCTGTTAATTTCTAGCAAATCATGCGTTTTACGTATGTTTTTTGGTCCTCAACACCCGTTTTACTTATGTTTTTTTGGTCCTCAACACCCGTTTTACGTGTTTTTTTATGTCCTCAACACCCCGTTTTACGTATGTTTTTTTTTGTTCTCAACACCTGTTTTACATATGTTTTTCTTTGTCCTCAACACCTATTTTCACATGTTTTTTTGGTCTTCAAAACCTGTTTTACATGTATTTTTTTGTCCACAGCACCCATAATATGTATGTTCTTGGTTTTTTTTGTCATCTACACCAGTTTAATGTATGGTTGTTTTTTTTTGTATGGTAACACATCACCTGTTTAACATTTTTTGTTGTCCACAACATCCAAATACATTATGATTTTTTGGAGGTTTTTTCTGGTTGGTAATGGATAAACCATACATATTTGTCTTTTCTTACGTAAACACTAACAATTTGATTCTTTTACATATATATTTATGTATATATATAAATTACTGAGTATATCATTGTAGTATTTAGTTGGAAATCAAAAAGACAACATTTAAATATGATGGTGTTGTCTGTCCTTTTCAAACTTGCCTCCCTACCAGAACTGTTTTTGGCAAGGCATACATTTACTGTGTGCTATCTTACAATTAGAATGGAAGCACAATATTTTATGACAGCCTATACAAATGATCTATATTCAAATCATAAACCTAAATCCATGAAAAAACCCTCACGAGAAAGATTATCAATTATCATTTAGAATGGACTATTTGCCTTAAAGATGTCTTTTGGTTATTATGCTTGTCTTATTGACGTATACGCAATATCTCCTTTTATTATATTTATGTTACACTCAGAACATAATCTACTGAAAAGAATAGATTATGCTCAAGTCAATGTAAAGAAGAAAAGGTACTTGTATTAGGGATTAGACATCATCTTTTTCTGTTGGTCATTGGAAATTTTGTTCACCACAATATTGATTTGAATGGATTGATTGTTGGTTGGTTGGTTCTATGATAGAATTTGCAAAAAGACCTCAAAATATGATGGTCATATAAACGTTACAAATTTAGTTATTTCAATTCTATTTATTTAACAACTACATTTTTTGGGGACCAGATATTCACAATCATACAAAATGTGTACCATAGTTCTTTTTCATTAGCATTATGTGGTATTAATGTACTTGTGGTTGACATATATACACTCCAAGTTTACTCTGCCTTGCTCTTGGTCTCACAAAACTGTTTAACTGTTAGTATTATATAAGACTGTTCTCCTGTTTACAATATTATAATTTTTGCACATGTGACATGAATTCCTTCATTTACTTGCACTTCTCCTTGTAAGATTCCAATGGTCATGATGATATAATCTTGTTGTTCATAATCAGTAATCATATCCTTCGAAAATTTTCTACAGCAGCTGTAATGTAAAAACAAAAGAAAATGTATTTTGGTGGGCAATCATTATTTTTTTTAATGGAATAGCAAAGTATACCTAAACATATTTTTTATTCAAATCCCAGCATGAATATATGTAGATGTTTGTCAAGAATGAAGATATGTCCTTTTTTTAAACACAAGTCATCTGCTTTACTTATGTCAAAACTAAAAAGTCTGATATATATCACTGAATCACTGTCACACAATACAACAAATATAACCTATTGCTGATACCATATCTGAGTAACAGACCATTGCTCATTCTTGAAGGCTGTTCAGCCTTTCATGGAGAGTTGTCTCAGTGGCAATCATACCACATCTTCTAATTTAATTTTATACAAGTTAGAAAACTGAAAATTGACTTATCGTTATGAATCATAAAAATGAGGTCCAGGTCAGATGAACAATGCAGACAACACCTACACCATGCAATCATTCCTAGCTACACATATAGTTGATATATTGATTATAGTATCTGAAAAACAGACATAACCATGAAAACTTACACTGACCAATGAACCATGAAAATGAGGTCAAGGTCAGATGACACCTGTCAAACAGACAGGTACACCTTACAATATTCCATACAATAAATATATTTGATCTATTGTTTATAGTAATACATATAGTATCTGAGAAATAGACCTAACCTCAAAAAATTAACATTGTCCTATGAACCATGATGAAAGCTAAAGGTCAGATGAAACCTACCAGACAGACATGTACATCCTACAAACATACAATACACAATATATACAGGTGATCTATTGCTTACAGTATCTGAGAAAACAACCAAACCACAAAAACTTAATGATGACAAATGAACCATAAATATGAGGTCACATCAAAAGTCTTACAACTAAAAGAAACAAGATAGCAGTCAGCATAAAGACAAACAACGAAACTGTAGAGTTGATAAAAACTAAAGCTCTAAAGAGCCTGTGTCTCGCTCACCTTGGCCTACATGCATATCAAACAAAGGACACTCTACAACATTGTGGAGGAGAATAGACTTCATGACAAAAATCTTTATTTTTTGATCTTGTATAAACTTATCTCTTAGTTTGTTTAGTTTCTCTTTATCTTCTTAAGTTTTTGCTCAAAACACAATAGAGGGTAAAAAAAATCCCCATTTCAGGGCAATTACTTCTATGAAGAGTGACAGTCTACTAACTCTGTCGGCAAAATTTGACTTTTTAATAGATCTTGCCTTGCTGATCATTTTTAAGATTTGAAGTGTTTATTTATCTTTTATAATTTAAATCATATAAGGCATAAAAAAAATTTTTCTTTCTAAATGTCATAGTTTTCATGGTAATAGTCAATAAAATGCTCTGCAGGGCGCAGCTTGATACGACCGCAGAGGTCGAACCCTGAACAGTAGGAGCAAGTATGGACACAACATTCAAGCTTGATACAGCGCTGAATTTGGATTGTGATTAAATATTTGACACAGCATAGGTTTCTGACACAGAATGAATGTGGTCTAAGAACTTAAAAATTTTAAATTGGACATTTACCTATTATGGTCCAATATCCAAAATCTAAATACATGGTTAGATTCAGCATATCAAATTAAAGAACCCCAATAATTCAATTTTTGATGAAATCAAACAAAGTTTAATTTTTGACCCTTTTGACCTCAATGTGGACCAATTTGATAACAGGGCCCAAAAATCTAAATACATAGTTAGATTCAGCATATCAAAGAACTTAAGAATTCAATTTTTTTTTATAAATCTTAAAAAAAGTTTAATTTTGGACCCTTAGGCCTCAATGTGGAACAATTTTAAAAATTGGACATTTACCTATTATGGTCCAATATCCAAAATCTAAATACATGGTTGGATTCAGCATATCAAATTAAAGAACCCCAATAATTCAATTTTTGTTGAAATCAAACAAAGTTTAATTTTGGACCCCGATTTGGACCAACTTGAAAACTGGGCCCATAATCAAAAATCTAAATACATGTTTAGATTCAGCATATCAAAGAACCCCAAGAATTCAATTTTTGTTAAAATCAAACTAAGTTTAATTTTGGACCCTTTGGACCTTAATGTAGACCTATTTGAAAACGGGACCAAAAATTAAGAATCTAAATACAAGGTTAGATTCGGCATATCATAGAACCCCAATAATTCAATTTTTGATGAAATCAAACAAAGTTTAATTTTGGACCCTTTGGACCTCAATGTGGACCAATTTAAAAACGGGGCCCAAAATCCAAAATCTTAATACATGGTTAGATTCAGCATATCAAAGAACCCCAATAATTCAATTTTGTTGAAATCAAACAAAGTTTAATTTTGGACCCCGATTTGGACCAACTTGAAAACTGGGTCCAAAATCCAAAAACTTAATACAATAGAAATAGGAAGATGTGGTATGAGTGCAAATGAGACAACTCTCCATCCAAGTTACAATTTATAAAAGTAAACCATTATAGGTCAAGGTACGGCCTTCAACACGGAGCATTGGCTCACACCGAACAGCAAGCTATAAAGGGCCCCAAAAAAATTACTAGTGTAAAACCATTCAAACGGAAAAACCAACGGTCTAATCTATATAAAAATGAGAAACGAGAAACACGTAAGAACTACATAAACAGACGACAACTACTGTAATCAGATTCCTGATTTAGGACAGGTGCAAACATTTGCAGCGGGTTAAACATTTTAATGGTACCAAACCTTCTCCCTTTTCTGAAACAATAGTATAACATCACAACATAGAAAAACACACTATAAAATATCAATTGGAAGGCTTAACTCAATCAAAAAACGTAAATTAACACACAATGAACGAATAAATTTGACCTGTGACACCTGAATGCAAATACACAGTTAATAAAAAAATTACAACGGATAAATAATTAAAGTCAAAAGTAAATAAACAGGTTTAAACATAGTTAAAGTATGATATCATTGTGAAATTTCAAACAATTTATAGAAAATCATCACTTTTGAAGAAACCTGCGTCATATTATACACAGGTAAATGAAAATAATTTTGTTGTTAAGTATAGGTTAGATTCAGCATATTAAAGAACCCCAAGTATTAAAGAATAAAAACCCCATTGAAATTGGTCAAGAAATAAGCAATTTATACAAATTATTAGAAAAGTATTGTTTTAGGCCCCTATAATTCCTAAACAGTTAGGGCCATAACCCCCAAAATCAATCCCAACCTTCCTTTTTTGGTATGGAACCTTGTGGTACAATTTCAGAAAGATCCATACACTTACACACAAGTTATTGTCTGGAAACTAGAAAAATGCCTATTTGGACCCCTTTTTAGGCCCTTAATTCCTAAACTTTTGGGGCCATAACCCCCAAAATCAATCCCAACCTTTCCTTTTGTGGTTTCAAACCTTGTGTTCAAATTTCATAGATTTCTATTTACTTACTGTAAATTCAGAAATTATTGCGATGTTTTTATTATTGCGAAAAATGCGACAGGGTTCTAATCGCAATAATTTTAACTCGCATTTTGAAATTTTTGATATGAATTAAACAGGATTTTTCTCAATATCGCAAAAATTAAAATCACATTTTAGTCTAAAATGACAAAATCGCAATAATAAATGCACGCAATAATTTCTGAATTTACAGTATACTAAAGTTATTGTGCGAAAACCAAATGTCTTTGGACGATGACGACATGATACCAATAATTTGTTTGCGGCCGTATAAAAATGAGAAAAAAATGATATAATTTGTCATTTATGGGCAATAACTCCTATAAGAATTTTTCTAACAGTTTTGACGTATATGGACAATTGGTAGAGCTTATTATTCTGAACATTTTTGCTCCTTTCAAATTTTCTCTTATTTATTTAGTTTCAAAAAAGAATAAGACAAAACTTGCATCTTACCCCTATGTTCTATTTTTAGCCATGTCAGCCATGTTGGTTGGTAGGCGGGTCATCAGACACATTTTGTAAACTAGATACCCTAATGATGATTGTGGCCAAGTTTGGTTAAATTGGTCTCAGTAGTTTCAGAGCAGAAGATTTATGTCAAAAATTACAAAAATTTCCTTAAAATTGTAAAAAATTGACTATAAAGGTCAATAACTCCTTAAGTGGTCCATTATTTGTAGATCTTACTTTGCTAAACATTATTGTTGTTTACAATTTATCTCCATATATAATAATATTCAAGATAATAACCAAAAACTGCAAAATTTCCTTAAAATTACCAATTCAGGGGCAGCAACCCAACAATGGGTTGTTTCAAAATTTCAGGGCAGATAGATCTGGACCTGATGAACAATTTTACCCCTGTCAGACTTGCTCTTAATGCTTTGGTTTCAAAGATACTAGAAAATATCCACGAAATATAGTTTGGTTCATAATTTGAAGATATATAGTTTTTGTGTAAGGCGATATTTTTTCAAATCCTGGATCCGCACCTGATTTCAAGTGTTTCCGTGCTCAGGACCACCCCTATAAATGAGTGGGCTGAAAATTTTATGCATTAATATGAATGGGTCACTTTCCAGCCGCACTTATGTACCCATTTTTAACCGAAAACCGAAGTAATCTCCCCACCCTTTTCATGTTGAATTGATGCGGTTCCCCAGAAGGAAAAGCTCTTGACGTGTAAAAATCTGTTGTTAAATTGCTGAGAGCGTATCACAAAGTGTTTCAGTGTAAGGTCAATATATACCGTATTTGCTACGAAATAAAATTTAATTTTGATGGGCAGACATGCAATGACGGAAATGATGATGGCACGTAAATTTCAGTGACGAACGTCGTGAAGGACGGTCGATCCGAACTGGCTTTTTTGCGATCTTAACCCCCAAAAGATCTTGAAATGAACACATAATAAACTACGCTTGTCATTACCCCTTTTTGGTATAAGACAATATTCATGGATTTTATGTGAAAGAAGAAAACGCGACACCAAATTTCAACTCTATTAATTTAGTAATATAGATAAGCCAAAATCTACATTTCAGGGAAAAAACTTAACGGTCGCCCAGGGCGACCAGAAATTGACCTGGGCGATCTTTTTATTCAGTTGTGGTAGCCCAGGTGGCGAATTGAAAACAAAGTACTCGACAGACGGAAATCCACTGTTTACCGTGGCTCCAAGTGCCGGCTACTTCACTGACAAAAATATAAATTCAAAAAGAAAAAAAAAATCTTTTTTAAAATGTATACAGGCAAGTTTCGAGAGTCGTATTGTCGCAAAGTCGCAATCGCGATAAACAAGGATGTAAAATCAGTGTTTACCTTTGACTAAATATAGTTCACGTTAATTCAGGTACTGATTGGTCGTCTATTTAAAAAGTCCGGAAAGTATCGTATGTTTGCAAGGATAACAAGAGAGACGTTCCGATGGTCATTTACAATATGAAGCAATCAAATACCCTGTTCGGTTTTGGCTTCAAGAAAGCGAAGAAATTCAGAGAAGATGACAATAGCATGTTATGAAATAATATCAGTCAAATAAAAGAACGTATAATATATAATGTTGTTAAGAATCTGGAAAACAGTACCTTTTGAAGTTCCCTTTTCAAAGCCCACGTGGTGTCCAGAGAATGAAGGTCAAAAACGAAAGTAGAATATTGTCGACCACAAATGAATAACATTGGTTCAAAATGATTTTAGTTTCCTACTTACTGAACAGTTTACAAAAAAGAGAAAATCAGAGGAGATATCAATTTTATGACAATGCTTTTGAAATACGTGTACAAGTCTTTTGAGAAAAAAGAGGGGTCATTTGTTTACAAATGTACGTAGTTACGCAAAATAAATCGATCAAGATATTTAATAAATTAGATTATTAAAGAAATAAAATTAAATATTTCATCGATCATCTACATGTATTTAAGGACAGAGAATTCTTTAGTTGTCTTAAAAAGATATTAAAAAAAAACTGGTACACAGGGTATGAAGATTCCCATTTTGTAAATGATTTTTTTTTTTTATTAAATTTGATTGAAGTCAACAACAAAAATAAGACAAAATTTACATTTTCCCAAGCATCTAAATCACCTCCAGGTATGCTCAGAATGCAGGGTTTTGAGTCTAAAATTTCAATATTTTCTTGGGGGCGGGGACATGCCCCCAAAACCCCCCTAGCAAGTCCAGCCCACTTCGCGGGCTTCACCGGTGATACTCATAGTGAAATAAAGTGGGCTACTAACTTTTTGTCTGGGCTAACTGATTTTCAAGTCTAGTAGCCCAGCTGGCTACTGGCCTTACAAAGTTTAGTTTCACCCCTGCATTTTGCCCCTATTTTTCTTTTAACCCATCGCGACTATCTTGGTTGGCGGGCCAGGTCATCAGACATATTTTTTTAACTAAATACCCAAATGATGATTGTGGCCAAGTTTGGTTAAATTTGGTCCAGTAGTTTCAGAGGAGAAGATTTTGTAAAAGGTAACAGAGGACGATGAACCATGCAAGGTCAGATTAATTCTGCCGGACAGAAATGCACATCATCTGACACACCAAATACAGTTTAATTTAATATATAGTAAATGAAAAATTTTGTAGACATGTTTGGAAATTATCTTTGAATAACTCCATATTTCCTATGTGTCATTTATATTTACCTAAAACATCATTTTCTTTTATTTACAGTTTGTTTGATACTAATACTATAATGCAGATCTGATCATACACCAAGGAACATATTTGACAAACCTAAGAAAGAAAAAATAATAATAGTTTATACATTATTATATAAAAGTTTAGAAATTTATAATATATCCCTTAAATAGATGGTTCATGTTTAACTGTTACAGCCTTTAAATAGTATATATATGTGTGGCTCACCTACATGAATCATTGTGCATCTGTTATTAAACATGTCGCCTCTTGTTTTTGGTGGGTTAATGTTATTCAGTCTATTATAATAAGTTTTCTAAATAGAGATGTGTGGACTTTTTGGTTGTTTCTTTTTTTTGCAAGACATCAGTTTCTCTTTCATTTAGGCCAAACAAAAAAGTACGTGTGTTTACTGTCACATGCTGAAAAAAAATAGGATAGGTAGGTAGGGAATTTTTATTATTTTTAATATTTTTTTTTACATTGAGTCTATGGGAGCAACATTGTGACTTAAACAGTGCTTAATCAAAAATGGTCAAACAAACTTTAGGGTAGGGGATAAAACTTAGGGTAGGTAGGGGTACAGTAAACACACATACTTTTTTGTTTGGCCTTATGAGTTTTGAATGTCCCTTTTATTTCTTCTGTATCATCATGATCATTCATTTTAAGATCAACAACTCATATATGGAAGGAGTTGATAGACAATTTTTGCACTGTTAAGTTATGGTATTGGTAGACTTTGCAATCAAATTTGGAGTTAAACAACAGTTTTTCAGTATATAAAGTCTTACGACCAACTATAGCAAGTTTTCCCCAAATTGCTAAAATCATGATTTTAAGGTAATTTTCATTTCAGCTATTTGACGTTATGGCCTATATGTTGATCTTGTCTTTTTGATCATTTTTGCTATTCATAGTTTCTCACTATCTATTCAAGTTTTAAGATAATGGGCAAAAACCAAATAAATTGTTAAAAATCACTTGATTTATCTTAATAAGAGTTGACTAATCCATTTCCACCATACATGTATTGAGGTCTTTGTAGATATTTTTTGTATTTAAAAGTTGCCCTCTATCTTTTGCCAAAAGGGTGGGGGGGGGGGCATATTGGAACCCTGTTCTTTTATGGGACTTTTTTTCTGTAATTGTGTCCATAATACCCTAATCTATAAACCCAATCCAGACCCTCATATTTAGTGGTTAAAATTTTTACACAACTGCATACATTTTGTACCAAACATTATTGACCTGTATGAGTAGTGGTTCCCACTGAGCCGACCCATAGGCGGATCCAGGGGGGGGGAGGGGAGGGCCCTGAAGGGCCCGTGCCCCCCTCCCCTTTTGTGGGAAAAATTTGGTTGATTATATAGGGAATCACTGAAGCATGACTGGAGCGGGGCCCCCCCTTAGGTCAGTCAGTGCCCCCCCCCCCCCCCTCTTATGAACAGTTCTGGATTCGCCACTGCAACCTAATAACCATTGTTGACCTGCCAACACAAGGCCTTGGCAAGCAACAGCATGTCCAATTAATAATATTGTTTTTTTCCCCTTCTCTGATGCAAGGCAAAATGACATACATTTTTCAATCACCAAGTGGAAATGAGAATTTACATGACAAATTGACATGATTGATAGCTACTGCTTATAATTGTTTGCTACAATACAGTATCTAATATTTAACAATTTCAGTTGTTGGAAGAGTGAGTGGCACTGAAAAATTACAAAAAGTTAAATTTATTTTAATGCATATATACATGTACAAATAATTAGCATAATCTGCAAATATTTTTACAAAATTTACTTTATTTTTAAAATAGATGGTGGCTTAGTTAAAATTATAGATATTTTTACCAGTCCCAACAATAATGTTTATGTTGTACATCAAATCTATCTCAGCATACTCAATCTAGTTTATCTGTTAGTACAGTGGGTGAACATGTGTACAAAGTATCATGTTGATGTCACTCTGATGGTCACATGATAATGACATGATGCATTGATGTGTCAGACCATCAGGTGGATAGTTGTCTCATTGGCATTCATATCAATGCTGCATCTCCTTATTTTGATATTAGCATGGTATTGTTTTTAGGAGATTTATATCAATTTGACATTTCTAAAAAAGGTTTAAACTTCAAAATGTGGTGGCTTTTTGGCATTGCAGTTTTGTAGATTTACACCGATGTACACATGAACAGGTCTTCCTGTTCTTTTTTTGTCATTTTTATTGCTCCACGAGTCATCTTCCACATACAGATGAAGGATTGTTTTTGTGATTATAAGCATCAGTTTCATAACATTTGTATGAGACATACTAAAGTTAAAGAACAGAAACTACAGATTCAGCCCTTTTTTTTTAATAATAGGGGCATAACTCATGAACGGTAAAAGTGACACCACCCAATTTGTGGTAATAAGCATTGTGTATAAGTTTCATAATATTTAGTTAAGACGAACTTAAGTTAGATTACGAAAACGAAAAAAAAATCAGAATTTTTTTTGTTTATAACGAGACACAACTCATGAACGGTAAAGGTGACGCCACCCAATTTTGATCTTGATCTGTATTTTGTGGTAATAAGCATAGTGAATAAGTTTTATAACATTTGGTTGAGGCAAACTAAAGTTAGGAAACAGAAACCAATTTTGGAGATGTACGGACGGACTGGACAGACAAGGGCAAAACTTAATACCCCCTTCGCTACAGTGATGGGCATACAAATAGTATTTTCCAGTTTCATGTGTCTGTCTGAAATCGGAAAAGTCAGTGTATCCCAAACTCTGTCTGACCGACAAAATGATTTTTAGTAGAAAAACGTAAAATTTCTCTTTCATTCAGACAAACCCCAAAATAGTTTGGCGAAGACTGCAGGAACCTCATCACTGTGTGCATTTTCTTACATTTCAATGTATTAATATTCTTCAAGGATTATGGTGGTTAAGGTAGTATGCAAGAAATATGTCTATTATTGAGATTTAATTATAACAAGATAGATACTAGGCCTAAGGCCAAATAAAATAATGTGTGTTTCCTATTACAACATCTTTGAAAAAAATAGGGTAGGTAGGTAGGGAATTTTTTTTATTTTACATTGAGTCTATGGGAGAGAAATTTTGATTTAACAGTGCTTATTGAAAAATGACCCAAAAAACTTAAAGGTAGGCTATTTCTTAGCTAAAAATATAGGGTAGGGAAGGAAATTTGGCACTATACATATTATGAAGGCATTTTTTCTAATCTGTTATAATCATATATTACATCAGTGGCAGATCAAGAACTTCTCATAAGGGGGAGGGGGCACTGACTGACCTAGAAGGGGGGGGGGGCACTCCAGTCGTGCTTCAGTTATTCCTTATATAATCAACAAAATTTTTCCCACAAAAGAGGGGGGGCATGGGCCCCACGCCCAGGATCAGCCTATGATCATGTATATGATATCCATAGTCCAAGTTGTTACATAGCATATATATATATATTATATATAAATATTAAAGATGTGGTATGATTGCCAGTAAGACATTCACAACTCTCCACAAGGCCAAAAATAAATAATTGTTTCCCCAAACCCGACCCTATCAAGTCAGGTGTGGGTAGGTAGGTAGGTAAATTATTTTATTTTTTTGGTAAATTTGTTTTTTTTGGTACTTGTAAATAGGAAATTACAAACCATCATTATAGGGCAGTATTGTAAATTCTAGGGTGTATCAAGCTATCAGTTTCCTCATGTCAGATATATTAAATAAAACTCTATGTATAATTTGAAATAATTTATTTAATTGGGTTTCTCTTGGGTGGTAATTTTCCAATAATGACACAGTCTCTGCAAACTGGTAGAACAATATGATGTGTTTAAATGGCATCTTGGTCCTTTGTTGCCCCCACAGCTGCACAGAAGGCACAGATATTGGGCTGTGCCAGGGTAGAGGCATAATACGGAAATTCCACATGTGTATTACAGTCTATCTGTAGGTGCACATTCACCACGCCTTCAAGAGCATCACCTGAAATAAAAGAACAACAGAGATCTTTAATAAATAAAAAATAATATCCTAGAGTACTTTGTATATATATATTGGGAATTTTCAATGAATAAAATGTCTAAAATACTGAGCCTTCTGTTTATTATATTAAGCAGTATAATTTGTCAGAAATCTGTCCAAGTTCAATGTCAGAGAGTGTACTACTAGAATGAAGTTTATACCGTTCATTGAAGTATGCAATTTTCCACTGAAAGAAGGATTTAAACATTGAAACCATATCAAACACTGAATAACTCAATGGAACATGCATAAAAAATACAATCAACTGAGAGTATATGAACATTTTATTGTTTGTTAAATGTGGAACTTTCATTCAATGTTGGTTCACAAAATCATGCTATGCAAGACCATGTTATTATATATTAAAAGTGATAAGAAAATCTTTTGGGAATACTATAAAAGCAAACCTTCAGGTGTGATAACAGATCCACAACAGTAGTCGTACTTGGTTAGCAGTCTGTCGAATGCTCTGGATTCTCGAACAGTTAGACTTTTTTGCGGAAAAGCAGCAAATACCAATTTTAAAGCATTTGGTTCAGTGACTCCGTCTGGGATCAAAGCCACGGTACTCGAGGCGAGCACGCTACCATTGTGGCAGCCTTCTTTTTAGAGAAGTATGGGCTGTCTGCTTTTACGAGACTAGTGTGGAGTGGTCTGCTTTTATTAGGGACCAAATGATTAATTTAAATCAATTGCTTTCAGGCTTCGGGTCAAATTAGTAAGGGCATAAGGAAATCATTAGGGAATTTAGGTTACGCCGTTAAGGGTTTGAAAATTTGCAAGAAAACAAGAAAAAGAATGCAAACAACGGTGGGGAGACTCTCCTTATCCTTAAAAAGTCTACCTTTGCTTGCAAGAAATAGATGTTGGGACGGTCACTTATTATGCATACCTGTAAACTTGTTAATAGCTTCTTCTTTTCGCTTAGGAAGTTTGTTGACAGCTTGACTGGCTCCCATCATTTTGTCAAAGGTATTGACAATATTTGAGGAGGAGGCTTCTTTTTCTGTAGAGGTCCCATCAATGTCAATGCAATATTTCAAAAACTTAAAGTCTTTATTAAAGTCTAGTGCCAGTTTCATGTCATCACCGTAGTGTGGACTAAATATTTCTGTAGAACCACTTTTTTCAGAAATGGATACACGGATGTGTTTTTGTCAAGAGCATCCTCCTCCTCTTCAGTCAATTCTAAATCGGCTATCACGTCCTCAAATATGTCTTCAAATATTTCCTTCTTAGAAAATCTGCGCAACACATTTGTTACCAAGTCAATCCTAAAGTTTCCAGCCGAATAAACGGCAACAGAAACCGACAGAACGGCGTCCATGTTCTGACATTTAAATGTATGAACAATCTAGAGAATATCGTAAAGACCCGAGACCACGTGGAAGAAGAAAGCCAAGTTGCGTCATCAAGGCGTTTTCAACTATGCCGATTACAAAGGCGCTTTGAAGAACAGCGTCTCCTTCTTATGTCTTATGTATTTGACTCCTCCATTTCATAGGAGCACCGCACCACAACATGAATTTCGAAAAAAAAATGTCTACACAAATTCGGCAATAAAATTATTCCGGTCGCGGCGATTTTCCGGGTCGGTCGGGATTGGGGAAACAAACAATATTTTATTTTAGGCCCAATTGACCAAATGACACTGAAATTACACAGAAATTAACAACTATATGTCACCGACTGTACAGCCTTTAATATAAATGAGTAAAACCCAAACTGCATAGTCAGCTATAAAAGGCTCGAAATGACAAGTGTAAAACAATTCAAACCAGAAAACTACAGTCTACAGCTAGATTAATATGTACAAAATAATGAACAAAAAACAAATACGATATTCAGCAACACCTGACCACTGAATTAAGTACAGGCTCCTGACAGTCCTGTCGGTCCTGAAGGTGGGTTTAAACTAGTTTGAAGGGGCCACCCATCCCCCTTACCCTATTATATCCAAAGCCCATTTCTCTTGGGGGTGGGGGAGGGGGAAGCTACTCTGTTTACCCCACCCTTTTCATATAGTTTAGATTTTTAAAATGTATACTTTCCCATATTGGTTTGGGTTTGTGAAATCCAGAAAATATTACCTTTCACCTTTGCTAGGAGCGCAGATTCCTTATGTATTGTTTACTTATGCCAAGTTACGACAAGACTTTCGGCTTTGACAGGGCTTTTCATATAACTGATGGAAATAATTTCTGACTTGGACAAAAACAATTATCCCCCTTTGAAGGTTGCTCCCTACTATTTTTCATATAAATATCTGATTCAGTTTATAAAACATTAATGTCATTTAAATATATTTGAGGGCGAACGACCACATGGCGAAAATATCATGCCAAGGACGAACGGACTTGACATCGTTTTCAACGGTCTTGTTGTTATGAATGTTTGTTTGTTTGTATATAAATTATATGGAAACGCTGATTGACAACGTTTCAGCATTGCATTCAGCATACTTAATGAATGTAGTGTGTTTTTTTAAGTGATTTGCCCATTTTTTTACCAAAATAAATTATCTGCCTCTTGTTGCGTTGGCTGCTCTGTTCACAAGACAAGTCGTCCCCCATTTTTTAAGTTGAAAAGCGACCTTCTTCTCATAAAATACTCCGCCTCCGCATGGACTGCTTATTTTATGCCATTTCCAATGTTTTAATATTCAAATGTCCGTGTATGTTTGTATAGCAGGTACAACATTTCTAATGAACAATCGGGCACAGCGTCCTTGGTGTCGTCTGCGTCATAACATCTAGATCTTTCGCCAGATCTTTCCGGCGTTTAAAAATTAGAACCGAATCCAGACTAAACCCGATTACGTAACTGGGATTCCCGCTGAAGCATTTTCATTATTTCTATATTCCGTTAACTTATTCATCAAGTCTTAATGTTTTTAGTATTGTAAATACTGCCATTTCAAGACAATACAGACTGGACTCGGAAATTGGCAAACTCGATAAAAAATAAACATTTGATAATAACGTTTATATAGGTAAATTGCACCGTGCTATATTGACGTTTTTTCCCCTATTATTGGGTATACGGGGATATGCTAAAAATATCGGTCATAATTTTGCGAGATTTTATATAAAAATGACTTACATTTCACATACATAAATGTGCTATTGGGAATCTTACTGTTTCCTTTCGTAAGTTCACATTTCAAATAAGTTCCAAAATGAACTCCAGAAATTTGAGGGTAGCTGTATATTTATGAATTATGAGTGATGATACAGATTACGTGCAGTTATATAAACATATAAACATATTTTAAATATTGTATATAAGTATATAGGCAGAGATATATATACACCGGCGCATTACGTTTGCGCGAATTCGTCCCACATTTGCGCGAAAAAAAATCCACGTTTGCGCGATTAAACACATTACGTTTGCGCGAAATTTCCCTGTTCAAAAGTCACTACGTTTGTGCGGATTAATTAAAAATATTTATGTCTCTGGTACAGGTCATTCTTTCTTTAATATTAACATAACTATAGGTAGTGAAATTAAGTGAATATGTTATATCAAAATAGGTACATTTTTTGGCCAAAATGGCAAACCCCTTCCGTGTTTATTTTGTAGATGCATTCTTTTTAACTTTATATAATTTTGAATCCATACACAACAAGACACATAACTTTAAATAAGCCCTCACGATCCAAGATTCTGAAATGAGGACCCATGCATCCTTAGCAAAACAGTATGAGTGAGGTTCATGTATAAACATAACGATACGGCCATCATTATAGTTCTTCCATCGTTATGATTTTAAACAATCCCTATGTTTTTAATCATGATACTTGTCAAAAGCATCAGGATACTTAGACGTTTGATTTATTTTTAGGGGTGGGGGGGGGGGGGGGGGGGGGGGGGGGGCTAGGATGAAAAATGAAAATTTCGTCCTGCATTTTTTTTAGTTGCAATCTCTGTCCTGCCTTTTTATTTTTCACTCTATTTCGGTCCTGCCTTTTTTTTATTCGTTTATCCTGTGTCTTTTTTTTTACATAAATTGTCATCCTGCCTTTTTCACTGAAAACTCCTGTCCTGCCTTTTTTTCTTCAAATTTCATCCTCCTTTTCTACTGGCATTTCAAATGGTCGATCGTCTCCTAATGAAAATAATAAACATAATCTTATAAGCTTGAATAAAAAGAATGGTGTATGCTCCCGAATGCCGCTGACCCCTTGGGGGACACGGGGTTCAAAGAACGACCCCCTAAAACCAAAAAATTATAAAGTTGAGATTCAGATTGATGTTTGACTATCAAAGCCATAGCCTAATGTAAAGACCAAAAGTGCCACTTTGGGTGATATTCTGGCTACATTGAGACCTTGCACCTTATTCCACGGAGTAAGCCTGAGCCTACGATCAATATTTACATGTGTATGATAGGGACAGAAGCTCCAATTTTGTTTGGAAGGGGTGACATTGTAGAAGACCAAAACATTGGTTATGCTAAAAATGATGTATCATAAGTTTCCAATACGTGCTCTCTGTTATGCTTCCCACATCAAACAATAACAGTGAAACTTCTTTTGTTATGAGTGTATAAATATTGTTAAAATGGTAATTAAACCAGTTGCTTAATCATAAGGTCAGGATTAGGTAAGGCTAAGGGGATGTTAACTTGTAGTACCTGACTATCAGAGACATAAAGATACATATATTGGGGGGGGGGGGGCATATATTGTATTATACCTGTTATCATGGTTATATGTGACAGTCTCTTGTAGTCATGGTAGTACATATATTTTTAGTGTTCTGGCCATTCTAATTCCCCATTAGTTTACTCCACAAATAAAGTCTCATTGCCATCTTATAATTGCTCAATAATATTTAAAAGGGGGGAAGGCAATGAGAAATAAAACAAACTTATATGAATATGAGTATGATTTGTAATCAGTTATAGAAAATATTATTTGAAATTAACTCCCATTGACTCAGCAGTTGCATCTAACCTTAGTGGAAATGATTCCTACCAAACAACAAGACCTAATAAGATTATTTATATACCTAGTATCACAGACCATAGATGTAATGGGTATTACCAGTGGCGGATCCAGAACTTTTCATTAGAGGGGCCTGCTGACTAACCTAAGGGGGGGCCCCCCGCTGTAGTCATGCTTCAGTGATTCCCTATATAATCAACCAAATTTTTCCCACAAAGGGGGGCCCGGGCCCCCCAGAACCCCCACCCCCTGGATCCGCCTATGATTACATCTATGCACAGACATACATCATGTACATTGTAATACAGTTGTACATTATACATGTACTTGTATGTCTCTGTAACTATACCTTTTAAGTAAAATAAAATTAATCTTGAGAAACAAGGACAGTTTGAAAAGATACATTTTTTTAATTTAACAGTGGAATAAAAATTGGTAATTTATATGTTTAAAATTTGTGCGAAATGTTTTACTTTTTCAAATTGATTTCTTTGATTCATATGAAAATAAGGAGATGTGGTATGATTGCCAATAAGATAACTTCACCTGAAAATTTGCACATGCATTTTTAAAATTCTTGATTCACATGTATGTACATTTAATGTGTAAATTTTAAGTTTAAATAATACATACAATAGCTTTTTAAAGGAGGATGTTGTACTAAAAGGTTTAGCATGAACAGATAATTTTAATCATTATGCAAATATTCATGTTTGCAGTATGCTGTTGTTATTTATTATCAGCTTATACACTATTTATAAATATGCTCTTAAAATGAAAAGCATTAATGGATAATAAATTGCGAAAAAAATAACCTGACCAATTTGACATGAAATTCTCTTTAAGTTAAATGTTTAATTGATGTTAAATAAGTTTTAATTTGAGAAAAAAAGGCTGCGTAACACAAAACTATATAATGAAAACGCACATAAAACACATGTAAAACATATGTTTTTCGTGCGTTTTTAAAACATAGGTTTTACGTACGTGATGTATTACGCCCGTTTCTAAACGGGTGTTTTACACCCGTTTTGGAACAGGCGTTAAACGCATGTTGGCTAAAACATGCGTATTCCATACGTAAAACGTACGTTTTACAGACGTTTTTTAAAACGTACGTAAAACATGCGTTGCACTTTTTGCTGTGTACTGCATAACAGTAACAGTGTTTTATAACACAATATCTGATTACATCTTGAAACGTCACGATACTCATGGAGTCGACCGAAACGACACAAAAAACCACCTTCTCTTAAAAAGTAATGCATGGCATATTTTGACATTAAAATCATAACAAATATCAAATAATTGCAATAAAAACAAAAAATAACTTAATAACATTGTTTACACAAGTTCCTTTTTCGCCTTAGTTAATTCTTTTTTACCTGAAAATTTGTACTAAGGCCAATTGGGATTTATTTAATATAATGATTTTGACAGCTAAGGCGAAATGAGAATAAGCCCTTAATTTCCTTATTCGTGAACTTATCACAAAGAACATTTTGAGCATTGGGCTATTCATTTTTATTAACAGGCAGATTATCTAAGTAACAAGTCATTGAAATACATCTATGTTTTATAAAGTAAAAGTATACGTTAAGCCTGTAGACCTTCCACTTAAACCTGAAGTTGCCAAATTAGCAAATAAAACAACAAGTAAAGATGTCTTATTATTCATATTTATCAGATGTCACACTTCTTTTCATTTATTTGTCATATCTAATGTATTTTCTTACCTTGAAAATAGTTCCTTACATTAAGTTTTGGGATTACTCTTGTTGTTATATTTATAGTTTTTTCTTCATAGAAACTAACTGTTAACTAGGTTAAAACATATGTTTCTGTGCCGCCGAATCCTATGTTTCTCGTGTTGCATTTCTTTGTTTTAAATAAAGCAATTTGCTTGTAATACATGATAAGAAAAACTAACATGCACCTTAAAACGAATCAAAAAAAGGTTTTTTATGACAAGGGAGATAACTCAAACTAAAAAATAACTGTGTTTATTTATAAACATCTTCACTGAACTTCGAGAGGTTTTTTGGCGAATTATGCTTTTTCGGAACATCATCAACACACATGAATTAGTATGGATACATTAAGAGTGACAATGTGAAATGAGCAAATGTTGACCACACTCTTCAGGGTTGATTTCCTAGCAAAATGATATTTACCTTTTATTATTACTGTGTGAACCTTAATCAATCGATAAAATCATTTCACCTTAACATTTGGTACCTGCTTCATAACGAATTTGATTTTTGAAAATAATGCCTGCCGGAACCATAGAACAAGAGTCTCGAATTTAATAGATTTATCGTTCTTTCGGGGCGCCACTCGGTGATTAATGGAATGCCTAGATAAGGTTAAGAGAAAACGGTAGTATTTATTCTTCCATAGGCGACAATACTAACATTTTCTAAATTTACCACTTTTTATATTTATAATCAAAACCTGGAGAAAACAGTTATGTTTGATATTAGTACTTTATCATTCTGTTTTCGAAATTGAGGTCAAATGGTATCATGACCATATTCGAACAGAGGTTGTTTAGGGGACGACCATTTGATATTCTGGGGGGGGGGGGGGGGGGGGGGCCAGGAGGATTTGTTTTGGATTGGTTATTTATTTTTGTAAACTAAGAGGACAGATTATCTATTTTCTGCACTATTGAAGCAAGATTTTTCATTTCCATTAAAGCAAGGGACTGATTATTTATTTTCACAACTATATTTATAATATTCGAAAACATACAATTTTTAAATTATTTGTTTATTATAAATAATTCATGTATAGTCAAGTCATTATGTACCATTTAATCAGAATTAATTATTATCCTCTGCAGAAATGAATCTTCTATATTCCCCAATGCATATACATGTATTGCATACATATATACACAGTATTAAAGTTTGGTTGTAACTAAGGCTCTTTTAAAAGAATTGGCAAAAATGTTTCGCCGAGCGGAGCGAGGCAAAATTTTTTTTGAAGGGTTTTTGAACCGCTGAAGGCCCAAGAAGCTATAGAACAAATGAGGCAAAATCATGCCTTCTGGGTGTTCCCCAGACCCTTTCTTCAACTGAAAATGCAAGTTCTGTTTTAATAATTTTATGACAATATTTTGGTCTCAAAGCAAAATCACATTATAGATTCAGTGTAAGACTTAAGTTTCTAGGAACAACATCAAAAGACAAATATGCATGATAAAGCAAAAATGTAATTCACATAGTTAAGTCTGTGGCTGCTGTGTTTTTTTAAACTCATGATCAAGTTAATAATAAAATAACTAAATTACAAAATGAATGCAACACTTACAGAATACAGAAGGGCAATCAATGAACAAAAGACAAATAAATAAGAAACATTGATCCCGAAAAATCAGGGGCTACGTCTGAGGGAGAACAGAACTTGCTTCTTGCAAGGCACTCAAGGTGAACACAATTTGATATGGAGACAATCGTTTGGTTTTGAAATTTCCTACATGAGGCATTTGTCTCAATGTAATTACGGCCCTGATTTAATAAAAGTGAGGTAAGTGTTCCTGAGACAATTAACCTCAAGTTAAATGAAACCAATTTTCTGACATTTCAAGTACATTTAAATAATATTTATACTTTATTATTAAAAGATATGGGAAGTGTTTCCCGATTTTTTTTTTGGAAAAAAGATGAATTTATGAAGAATCTGGTGCCATCTCATACCTTCGATTAGACCTGCTGAGTTATTTATTTTCAATACATTGCAAGTCAGGTAATTTATTTTCAAACTACCACAGAACAAACCATTTATTTTTGTGATTATCAAGGCCGAGTTATTTATTTTCAAAATCCTCCTGCCCCCCCCCCCCCCCCCAGAATATCAAATGGTCGTCCCCTTATGGTGTCCATG